CCTGCGTCTGACCTCAAAGTGCACAAGCTTCAAACTTCAGCGTTGGCTGCGATTTTGAAGCTGAAATCGCGTTCGGTGTGAACGCAGCATTACTGCCGAGAGCCTGCAGGAGTCATGGGCGGGGTGTTTGGGGAAGTGGTGGGGGGGAGTTCGGCTTAAAAGACACGTCCCAGAGGTGTTTCTGGTCCCCATCTGTCATTTTGCTCCTCAGCATGGCTTCCTAGAATCGCTGCAGGATTTCTCAAAGATGCATGAATGAGTCAAAGCAAGGCTTTGGGCATGTTTTTTATGAGTATAACATTATAACACGATATAAAACTCAAAAAAGTTGATTTTACATGATATTGCCCGTTTAATGGTCATTTAGTAAATTTTAAGAGTTTTTATTGTACTAAACGATTCCGAACATTTACATCAAGTCTGTCTTGTGAGTAAAATACTGTATCTATGCTCCAGATAAAAATGATTTCACTGCTTCTTTGTGGTTTCAGTTACAGGAAAGGAAAAACYAAAAAGACACTCATGCAGTTTACGTCAGTGGAATCGTGATTTTTGTTTATCTCCTATTGATGGACAAGAAGCTTTGTCTTGCTTGATTTGTTATGATGAGTCATTTCTGATAAAATCATTCAGCTCATCAATTCAAATCAAATCTGAACTCCTGAAGAAAACAGGGTTTGTTTTAGAGAAAACAAGCTTAGTGTGATGGTCAATGTCATGTTGTTGGTTTAGGCTGAGAAAATGTTATAAATATAACCTGTGTCAATCTTAAATTTATTGAGCCCTTTCTCACTCAACCTCTGGAGGTTAAATGTGTCTTTGTTCCTTTTAGCCACTAGTTCAGCTCATCTTGAAGATCTAGCATACCTGGATGAGCAACGAGGACACATCCCTTCAAAGACGCCCCTCAGAATGCCCAGACAGAATTCCAGAAGTCATAATCAACACGACCGAGGTAAAGACACACATCTTCGCWGGAACAACTCAGACTTTGCAGCTGATTGTGTGCTTTCTTCTTTATTGTTTCTTCTGTATCTGTTTTGGACTGWAACTGTTTGAGCATCAAACCATTTTGCTCGTTCAAGACATTTCAGCTGTGGCTTGTAGCTTTTGTAATTTTTTTATGTATATGATTATTTCATTACAATTTTTCCCATGGAAAACATATTTGTCTTCCTACGTTTCCTCGTCTACTTTTTTGTTTGTCTACCCATCCATCTTTTTTCTCCTTATGTTTTCTTTATGTTTCATGTGCTTTTGCATCCCTTTTAGTATTTTTATGAGTTCTTATACATCACTTTAGTATTTTAGCAAGGTGCGTAGCAGTATGTCCTGATGCATCTCAGTAATCCAGGTAGAAAAAATCAAAAAGAAAAAATAAGTATAGGTCCTCTGGATGGGTTCTTCTTTAGTGAAATGTTTCATCTCTCCTCCAAGAGACTTCTTCAGTCAGATGAGTTTCAGGTGAACTCAGCCTTATAAGCA